CAAGAACCGCATACATATATGCATGTATGTTGATACATGCATATATTCCTATATTCACATGAACTGAGATTAATGTTAATGATGAATCTAGATTAAAAAGTATATGGGAGGTCCCAGTTTGTGGCTCAGTGGTAGAGCACTTGTCTAGCATGCATGAGGCACTGGGTTCAATCCCCAACAACACATAAAAATAAAGAGAAATAAAATAAAGGCATGTTTAAAAGTATATGGGAGAGGATTGTCTTTTCTTTCACATTTTCTATAAGTTTGAAATAAAAAACTGGAGGAACTCCAAACTTTTATTCTTCTCTTGAAAATCATTAAGCTTTTTATGTGCTTTCTATAGTTGAAAAGCTTTTCTACTGATCATGGTGGCACACACTTGCAATCTAAGCAACTCAGGAGGTTGAGGCAGAAAAATTCCAAGTTCAAAGCCAGGCAGGGCAACTTAGCAAGACCCTGTCTCAAAATAAAATATAAAAAAACGCTGCGGCTGTTAAAAAAAGTGAGAGAGTGTTTGCCTAGTATGCTTGAAACCTGGGCTCGATCTCCAAAAATGCCACAAAAAACAAGGCTTTTAGCAGAATGCACTCACCTATACAGTCCCACCTACTCAAGAGGCTGAGGCAGAAGGATCACTTGAGTGCAGGAGTTTGAGTCTGGCCTGGGCCCATCTCAAAAAAAGGAGAGCTGGGGTTGTGGCTCAGTGGTAGACTTGTCTAACATATGTGAGGCATTGGGTTCAAATATCAGTACCACTTAAAGAAATAAATAAAATTATTGGGGCTGGGGATGTGGCTCAAGTAGTAGCGAGCTCTCCTAGAAAGCGTAAGGCACTGGGTTCGATCCTCAGCACCACATAATAATAAAATAAAGATATAAAAATAAATAAATAAATAAAATTATTGTGTCCATCTACAACTAAAAATATTTTTTTAAAAGGTGGGGCAAGAGTGTCTGAGGATGTGGTTTAGTGGTAAAGAGAATGCATATGGGGCTGGGGTTGTGGCTCAGCAGTACAGATCTCGTCTAACACATGTAAGGTACTGGGTTTGATCCTCAGCACCACACAAAAATAATAAATAAATAAATGTCCAACTACAACTTCAAAAAGAGTATGCATAGCACACAGAAGGCCCTGGGTTTGACTCCTAGTAGACACACACACAAAATAGAGTTTTTTAAAAACCAGGTTAGAGCCAAGCAGGTTGGCAAGACAACTCACAATTTTATGGGACTGAAGCCAGGGCCTGTGTCTGCTAAGCAAGTGCTATACCACTGAGCTATATCCCCAGCTGTTTTTAAATCTGCATATTCTGACAGGGTTTCACTAGGTTGCTCAGGCTGGCCTCAACCTTAAAGAGTTAAAAACCTAATTAAGCATCTAAAAAAAGGAATTAGGGCTGGGGTTGTAGCTCAGTGGTAGAGCGCTCGCCTAGCACGTGCAAGGCCCTGGGTTCAATCCTCAGCACCACATTAAAAAAATAAATAAAATAAAGGCATTGTGTCCAACAATACCTAAAAAATAAATATTATAAAATAAAATAAAAAATCAAAAAAGGAATCATAAATAGTAAATCTTGAAAATGACATAATATGCTTCTTGGGCATTGGAAACTTGCTGAATTTGGAGTAATTTTCAAAATATAAAAACTTCGAGGATGATCTCCACATTTTTGGTTTTACTTACGTTTCTATGCCAATGCCAACGTTTATGATACAAAGATAAATTTATTTATAGGCTCATAAACATGTAAATATATGTCTTGTGCAAGGGTTTAAGAGAGATGAGGGCTCGGGTGGTGGCTCAGTGGTAGAGCGCTTACCTAGCACGTGTGAGGCACTGGGTTCAATCTTCAGCACCACATAAAAATTAATTAATCAATTAAAGGGATTGTGTCCTTCTACAACTAAAAAAAAAAAAATAAGAGAGAGAGAGAGAGAGAGAGAGATAAACAGTGTCTTTGGGGCCTGAAGGGCCAACTTTAATAATTCCTAACTGAAGTAACTGTCCTCCACACTCTCCTGCTAATGGACATGTGGGCGATGCTCCCACAGGCAGCTTGCTTAATCCTCCGCCTTTAGATGTCAGTTTTGTTGTAGCTACTTGCCAAGAATGCTCTCTTCAGAGCAAAAAGGGCTGTTAAGTTCTCATCCCTCCACACCTCGCCATGTCCTGTGCTGACTAGAACACCTTCCTGGGCTGTACCTCATGAATTTCCATTTGTTTATTCATCACAGCTTTAGATTAATCTCCTTACAGAAGCTTTTTTCTTTTTCTAAGAAGAGTAAGGCATCTTTTTCCCCTCCCATTGCTCCTTCTCTATACTTTAGTAGAACACTTACTCCATTATTCAGGAATTGTTTTCATTTCTATCTGTTCCTGTAATTATAAGCTCCCTTAAGACAAGGACTGTCTTATTCATCTTTGTATACATTCATCCCCTGAGGCCTTTCTAGACACAGAGCAGATGATTACATAAATGAGTTAGAAAGATGCATCTTATTACTTTAAAGAAAAGGGAAAACTAAAAACACCATGTCCCTGAATACACCCTTTCTATTCCCAAAAACTTAGTCATGTTAAGAGAACCAGGAGAGCAAGCCTAGGTTGGAAAGTTCAAATACACATGATCTTGAAGGACACTGGCTTTCTCTCAGGCCCACTAGAAACTAAGGCAAGTTAGTGTTATCTGTAGAAAGCTACTTTCTTTTCTGTATTCCAGGACATCTGCTCCTTGGGATACAAACTAAGCAACCTAATACCAATGATGTTACTATTTTTGCAGCCTAACACATAAAACCCCTCTCAGTAGCAACAGACATGGAACTGAGGGCACTATAGAAAGGATACAAGTCACTTGCTCAGCTGGCTGTCATTGGATAGAACATCACGAGGTAGAGGAGCTGCTGCTTGGTGAAACATGTTGAGGGACATGTGCTCTCTGTTCAGCCTATTGCTATTGAACTCTTTGTGAAGCAGTTGCTGAACTCTCATACACTTTCCCCAATAATTTACATGTCTCACATGCTATCTCTGGGTAGTTTCTTTTACCTATCAACAACCTACCCCACTGCCCTGGCACAACTGCATAAAGTAAACATGCATAAGCTTGAATATATCAGAAAATAGGAAAAAGCTAGGGACAGTCTTAGTGGGTTGGCAGTCACAAAGAACTATAATGTATCCAACTTGGACATTTCTGGCTGAAAATTTTAGTTCTCTGGAACTGGAATCTTATAAATCACAAGGAATATTTGTCATCTCCTCCCTGTGTTTTTCTGAGATTGGCATAGTATAGATTTGCTACTTGTTTTTGTGAACAGACACACAGTGTTTGTTATTACACATTAAGAAATATTTTAGTAAAGAAATTAAGTTTGGGCTCTTGAAATAGATATGTTCCATTCAAATTCTAGCTCTGCCACTTACTAAGTGTGAGATCCTGATCACTTGACTCTGTAAAGTAGGCCTGACACAAAGCAACCCTTCCTAGGGTTGGAGAGAGGGGTTCCTCAGGTTCCCTCTCTGTAAAATGAGGACAATTATAGTACCTATCTCACAAAGTTATCTTTTCATTAGATAAAATAGGAAAAGCACTCATTAGTACCTAGCACACCAGTAAATGTTATCTATAACTTAGGCTGTTGGGGGGTGTCTCAGTGGTATAGTGCATGCTTTTGCATGTGCAAGGCCCTGGGTTCAATCCCCAAAACCATCACCAAAAAAAAAAAAAAAAAAGTTATCCAGTACTATCACATCCAAAAAAGTTCACATAAAGTCTCATGTATTTGTACCTGTTTAAGCACTTTCACATAAACCAGTGATTTTCAATAGAGGGTGATTTGGGCCCCAGGGGACATTTGGCAATATCTGGACACATTTCTGGTGATCACCACGGGGGAAGAGTGCTACTGGCATCTGGTGGACCAGGCCAGAGACAGGGATGCTTCTAAACATCCTACAACGTCCAGGATACACATTTACACACCCTCAAAGAATGTCAAAAGTGCAGAGGCTGAGAGACTGATTTAAAAAGGGTATGAGACATTCCCTAGGATGTAGTCACAAGTTATATATATGGATATATCGTGTGGGTGTAGTCACAAGTTACACATATGGATATGTCAAGTGGTGGGTATAGTCACAAGTTACATATATGGATATATCATGTGATAGTGTTATACATATATAGAAAATCCATATACCTAGACACGTCCAGGATGACTGTGACACATCTTATATATGCTCATATCATATACCTAGAGCAGCATCCTGTCATGTATATGCCATGTATGCAACAATTGTAATTTGTCAATATCTATATTCTAAGAGCAATCTGACATACTAAAAGAACGCTACCGTTATCTCTATACACATCATTTCATTTCATCCTCACAACCACTTAAGAATATTAGCCCAACTTTCTACAACGATTAGTTCAAAGATGACACAACTAGTGATGAAGGTCAACTGCATAAGTAGACACCGTGATTGCTCCATTCATCCATGTATCCCGAGGGCCCCCAACAGTGTCTAGGCTTTCTGGAAACATCTGCGAAGGCATGGGGTGGGAATCACCTCTCTGAGCCTCAGCGTACGGATCTGTAAAGTGGGTCTGATACAAAGCAACCCTTCCTAGGGTTGGAGAGAGAGATCAAACGCAAAAATTCTCAGCATAGCGCGGGTTTCAATTCGAGATCTCGCGGAGCCGGGCACTAGGCAGCCGAGGTGGGCTGAAGACGAAGCCTCTCGGGCAGGTAGAGGTTAATCGGGGCCTGGGCGCAAACCCACCGCTGGGCTTCTGGGGGGGGGGGAGGTGCCACGCCAGCAAACGCAAACCTGTCCTTCCTCTCCGACCTCCTGAAGCTCCAGTCCGGAACCACTCAGGCCCGCCCCCACGCCGCCTCGCCCAATCGGAGCGTGCGCTCGTGTGCGCATGCGTGACCCCGCGGGTCAGAGACGGCGGCCGAGAGGCGGAAGTGCAGGTTGTTGTGGCTCCAAAGGCTGCGCGAGGGACTGGTGCTGCTGAGGCAGCGGCGGCGCTGCCGGCCCCGGGCCGCTCGGCCTCTCCGTTCGCCTCCCAGCCTGGTCTGAGCCCGCCGGAGCTCTCGCCGGCCAGCGCCTGCCCTATGAGTGTGTCACTGGTTGTCATCCGACTGGAGCTCGCGGAACACTCGGCCGTTCCCGCTGGCTTCGGCTTCAGCGCCGCGGGTGAGTCCCAGTGCTGCGCCGCCTTACCTGTGGCCAGGATTGGGCCCCAGGGTTCGCCTTCCCGAAACGTGGGTCCGGGGACAGGCCGTGGCGAGGGCTTCTGCCTCAGGCAGAAGCGAGAGGTGGTTGGGATCCTCTTATTCTATCCATCTTTAGGAGGCCTTCCTAGATGTCATCTTCTAGATGTGAAATCCTTCCTGGGCCCTTCCTCCCGTGCCTTCCCGAGAGCTTTCACCTAGCGCGTCTCCTTCTCCGCCCCGCCTGAGTCGAGTGATACATTTGTCTCACATGCTTTTCTCTAGGCTTCGTGAAAGCAGGGACTAGATCCCCAACGACTCTGATGGTCCCTGGTTTAATTAAACTGTTCCTTTTCCCTGAGGTGCCTCATGACGATAATCCTAGTAAATAAAATTCAAGCACTTCCTATATCCAAGCACTGCACTGGAAACCTGTGTGCATCCTCTTCTTTAATGACCTCGGCAACAACCTTAAGGCAGATGGATAGTTTGAACCTTTTACAAGGAAACTGAGGCCCAGTGATTAAATAATTTGCCTAAAGGTACATGTAAGTGGTGAAACTGGGATTCCAACCCTGAGAGCTGGACTTAAGAATGAGCTCTTCAACCCCAGCACATGCCATCCTAGTGGGGAATGCAGCTATGCTCTGTTCCCGGGTCCTCAAAAGATTACCTAATAACAACATTCGTTCAAGAGATATTTATTAAATGCTCAATAATGGCTGGAGCTTAGGTTTTGGGCAGAATCGGATATGGTCTCTGCTGAAATGCACCAGCAGTTTCATGGGGGAGACAGATAATTAAATAAGTAAAGAATAAGTGTAGGATTATAACTGTGATAAATTCTGCAAAGGTAAGGAGAAACAAGAAAATTCACAAGAATATGGGAGTAGGGCAAGTAAGGATGTCATTGAAAACTACTCCAAGTATGTCAACTTTGGAGCTGCAAGTTAAAGATGACTGTGATTTTTTATTTTTTTGAGACAGGATTTCACTATGTTGCCCAGGCTGGTTTCAGATGAATATGTTTTTTTGTGGGGTACCAGGGATTGAACTCAAGGATACGTAACCACTGAGCCATATCCCCAGCCCTATTTTGTGTTTTAGAGACAGGGTCTTACTGAGTTACTTTGTGCCTTGCAATTGCTGAGGCTGGCTTCGAACTCTTGATCCTTCTGTCTCACCTCCGGAGCTGCTGGGATTATAGGCGTGGGCCTGGCCTCAGATGAATATTTTTTAATTCAAGGGTATGAGGATTTTTTGTTTTAATTAATTAATTCTCTCTCTCTCTCTCTCTCTCTCTCTTTCTTTCTTTTTTCTTTTCTTTTTTTTTTTTTTTTTTGGTGGTACTGGCCTCATCATGCTAGGCAGGCACCTTCCCACTGAGCTATATCCCCTTTCCTACTAGGACCTTTTAAAGGCTAAAAGTGACTCCTTAGTTCTGAAAGCCAACCAAATTGGAATTTGCCACACATAAACATCTGCATGAGTCAATTGTGTAGTTGTTTATTTAACATATATTTAGAGAGCTCTCCTTGTGTGCTGGACACAAAGTACAGTGATGGGCAAGATAAGCCTTGTCCCTGCACTCACAGAGCTTATTTTAGTCGAGACACCAAATTCCTTTTCTCGTTTATGTGTTTCATTAAGATAGAAATGATAGATTTACGTGGTTTGATCCATAGCGTGTCAGTGACCCAGGATGTTTACAAAGAGATCTCTAGCCCAGTACAGTGGCACATGCCTGTGATCCCAGAAACTACGGAGGCTGAGACAGGATTACAAGTTTCAGGCCAGCTGGATAACTTAGTGAGACCTGTCTCAAATTAAAATTTAAAAGGGGGGATGAATAGGGATGAAGCTCAGTGGCAGAGTGTCTGCCTAGCATGTACAAGGGTGCAGATTTAATCCCTAGTACCACCAAAAAAAAGACCTCTAAAGATTTTGAAATTTAGGCCCAATCCAGGGTCAGTTTAACCAGTTACTAAAATGTTAGTTCATCTAAACATAGTTGTTGCTGAACCTTCTCTGAAGCTGACTCTTGTTGATTTACATTAAAATGCCTGATTCTACCAAAACAACCCTGTTTGTGAGTTTATGTTAGTGGTAGCTTATTGACTGTTTGCTGACTGCTGGAGTCCCAGAGGTGAATGAGATGGATACTGAAAAGGCATCTTAGGGGAGAGCAGCAGAAAGAAAAAGGAAACCTATTGACTGGGATATTGAGAATGGAGAGGAGCTTGTTTTATGTTCAGATATTATTCATATATTCTATAGCTGGGGAAATGTCTAATGAGGAGATCAAAAAGAAGACACTTGCTTCAGCTGTTGCCTGTTTAGAAGGGAAGTCACCAGGGGAAAAAGCAACAATCATTCATCAGCACCTTGGCCGTCGGGAAATGACAGATGTAATCATTGAGACCATGAAGTCCAACCCAGGTATATTTTCAGAAACTCTGGATTCTTTTGTAATGTGAGCTTCCAGTTACTTGTTTTATATGTGTTTTGTGAACTCATAATGTTAACCTGGAGCATACTTTTATCTTTTTACTGCTTGCATGCTTTTACATGATGTCATTAAGGCACATTTCAGCATCTCTAAATGTTTCTTCTAAATTAATCTGGTCATGCATTGCACATGCCTATTGCCCCAGCCACTTGGAAGACTGAAGCTGGAGGATCACTTGACCCCAGGAGCTCAAAGACAACGTGGGCAACATAGCAACACCTTATCTCAAAAAAAAAAAAAAAAAATCCTAACAAGCTATATTTGCAACCCTCATTGGCGGAGGAGAGCATCTTACCACCTAAGTTAGCAATAGATCATAAGTGCATCCAGATAAGCATATTGTTCCTCCCCTGCCCTGCCAGCTCATTCCAACTGAGGGAGTGGATATGTTCTGCATTTCAGGCATGGGGATGGTCAGAACTGGTAGGTTTGGTTTTCAAACAAAATAGCCCTGAATGTTTGTCCCACTCAGGAGTGTGTGATGGAAGATGTCTGCTACTGCTGGATGTAAAAGCCATCCTCCAGTTTCTGAGGGTGTTAATGAACTTTAAAGTTGGGATGTGCCCACATTTGGCTTTCTGTGAACATAGTTCTTAATGCAGTATATTATATTTTCTTGAAATTTTAACCAATTAGAATTCTTTAGCATATTTCCAACTGTTTGTAATCTGCTAATTTTTGATTTGTGAAAGATGAGGTAAAAGATGCAATGGAAGAAAAGAAGTCTTCAGAAGCATCCCTCACTGTGCAGAGAAGTAGAGATCAAAGTAAAGATTGCATAAATGCAGCTCCTGATTCTCCATCCAAACAGCTTCCAGACCAGATTTCATTCTTCAGTGGAAATCCTTCTGTTGAAATAGTTCATGGGATTATGCACCTATATAAGACAAAGTAAGAAAAAAAGAAAAATATTTTTCTTTTGGGTAGGTCTGTTTTTGCCTTGGGATAGAGAAAATTCTTTTAGCTAGAAGGGAGGTGGTAGGTATTTTAAGTTTCAGAAAGGTAGTACTTTAATGTATTGTGTGTTAGGGAATTCTTAGATGTTTTACATTTGGTTGATCTTGTAGATAGGGTCAAAGCTTTTCTCACAAAAGAAATGTGTAGGAACACTTAATAAAATACCTTGGAAAATATTGTCTTAGCGGTTAGTCATGGAGGATTGAAAGGAAGAACTAAGAAGTCAGTTAACTAATCCTAATATGTATTACTTTTTAAAAAAAATTTTTCCTGTGGTATTTGGTATAAACAAACCTTGCTGGAGGCCCAAGGGAAGGAAGCCTTTGGCTAGATATTTACAAACTAGACCATCAGCTTCTTGGATAATTGGTAGGAGTTGGTGGTTTGATTTTTGTGAGGGTTTTTTTGTTTGTTTGTTTGTTTGTTTTTTGTAGTACTGGGGATCGAACCCAGAGATACTGTACCATTGAGTACATCCTCGGCCCTTTTTATTTTTTATTTTGAGACAGGTTCTCACTAAATTGCTGAGGCTGGCCTCCACCTTACTATCCTCCTGCCTTAGCCTCCCAAGTAGCTGGGATTATAGGTGTGCACCATCTCACCCGGCTGATAATTGGTAGTTAATGTCTTAAAGGCTATCCTTATCTTAACTTGTTTGCCAGGTCCCTCCTGGGAAAACAGCAAATACTCAAGTAGCCATTTTGGATCACAGCTGTCAAGTGAGTTTGCAGCATTTCAAAAGCAAATTGCATTGTGGGAAGTTTTTCATTCCCCTCCCTTCCAGCTTGTCCTTCCCAGCAACACTTTCTGTAATATCCTTGTGGTTTAGAGTTCTCTTTTAGATTTAGAGCTCTATTTTTCTTCTAGACATTTTGAGAAAAATTTGTACTTTAAGTTACCCAGTAACAGACTATTTTTCAAAAACTAATCAGAATAAAAGATGAACTGACTTTCCTTAATGCACATTTTAACCACATAGGCCTTTAACTGAAGATTGAAAATTTTGGTGGGGGGATATACATACACATATATATGTGGTTGTGTATATGTATGTGTATGTATATACATATAAAATAATTTAATAAATTTGTCTTAACATCCACTACAGATACATTTAGGGGATTTTGTATTACTCATGTAGTGTATATTTTTAAGTAAAATGACAAGCTATTTAAATTTATTTTTAAAATATTACAAGTTTTTATTTCTTCCTATTTTCTTGGACATAAGTTGTCAAATTAGTGTTATCCGAACTAACTATACCTCATCTATTCAAGACAGTTTAATTATTGTCTTATTAGTAAGATGACCTCCTTAAAAGAAGATGTGAGGCGCAGTGCCATGCTGTGTATTCTCACAGTCCCTGCTACAATGACCAGTCATGACCTTATGAAGTTTGTCGCCCCATTTAATGAAGTAATTGAACAAATGAAAATCATCAGAGACTCTACTCCAAATCAATATATGGTGCTGATAAAGTTTAGTGCACAGGTAAAAGTTAAGATATTAAAAATCTCTTTGCCACAAAAACTTGTGTTTTTGAAACTGTATGATACTAGCCGTGTGTGATTTACAACATTTTTCACTTAAGGTTCTTGACTTACATATCTTTGAGGGTATTGTAACTGTAGATGTCTTTCTAAATTCATTGGCAGAAATACCATTGTAATTGATATCCAGAGTTTTTTATGCATCTGATTGGATATGAAATCTAGGTTTTTGGTTGTTTATGCAGTAGTAACTTTTCCAGTAAAGCAGTAGTTCCCGAACGTTTGAAATTGACACTATTGTATTATTTGCTATTACCTTATTTCTTTCATTTTCTTTTTTACAAGGTGCTCTTTGACATAGTTTAGAAAATAAAATTTATTTTTTTAAATGTAAAATTTGGTGACAAGAGGGATTTTGTGACATGATTTGAAGTGTTATATTTTAAAGTCCTGATTGAATATTATTACAATAGAGACAAACACAGAACAAATGAGGGTATTTTCAGTTTTTAAAAGTGCTTATGCATTGTAACAGATGCTATTTGGTGTAGGAGGGTTTTGCCATTCGCTTCATTTCACTTAAATAGCACTTTCTATGTACCTCAGTTCTACAGATGTTAGAAGATATTCTCTTGGTTTTGCTTATTCATCCCTATAAACATGCGTATTTGTATGTGAATATACAAATGAGGTAAGCTTTAGGTATTATTCAGGTTATTAAAAGGTGATCCTTAGATTCACTCAGTTGTTTCTCTTTTTTAATAGACTTTTGTATTTTTCCATTGGAATTTTACTAGGTTTTTGTTTGTTTTGTTTACATTGGATTTTGAAAGGCAGTTTTTTCAAAAGTTAATTTCTCAGCCATACTGCAGTGACACACACCTATAAATTCCATTGAGTCAGGAGGGTCACAAGTTCAAGGCCAGCAGCCTAGGCAGTTTAATGAGATCTTGTCTCATAATCAAAAATAAAAAGGGCTCAGAAATAGAGAGCCTTTGGGTTCAGTCCCTGGCACTGCAAACCCACAAACAAACAAAACCTCTCGCCTCATTGATAAAGAGTCTTCCTGAATTTGTCCCAAATACTTCCATCTTGCTGATTAACAAAGAAATGAGTGGGTTTATAGGGTCAATTGCTATTTCCTCTCTGACTGGTCACCAGAGTTTGTAGGTGAAAGGGAGCGCATGACACAAGGGCCATTTGCCATCTCTTTCCTCATTACAGAGCTTCAGAGTTGAGATCAGTGGCAGCCGTCCAGTGAGCATGTGGAGGAAATTAAGAGAAATTTGAATTATGTTTGTACATGTTGCCTGGGCCCCTCTGTTGTGGAGTTCTATGTACAAGAAGGTACAGGCTGTTTAATCTTTACAAAGTATCCCACCATTGAGGGAGATGTTTAAAAAGTGTTTCAACTGTCCTGTAGACTTTACAGTTCCCATGAAGAATAGAAAAGCATTTACCTGATATTACAGACTGTCATCAGGCCTTCTGAAGTCTGAGGAGCTTTGGAAGCTGGGAAAGTGGCACCTTAAACTAATTAAACCTGGTAGTACATGTAATAATAATGGTCATAATAGAAAACAGCAGCTTTTGTTTTGTATTGTTCACTGTGCTCAGTGCTCAGCAGAGTATCATCTCATTTAATCTTCACTGTAACCCTTCAAGGTAGAGTGATCCTGTTCTTTGTTTCACAGATGAAGCAGCCAACTTCAGAGAGAGATTAGTCATTTGCCCAGGATTACACAGATAAAAATAAATGACTGAGTAGGGATGGATTCACTTTGAATCACTAGGACAAATTCCTCTTCTAGTAGGAGAGTATGAAGGTGTGGGGAATAGAGACAGTCACTATTTACAGGTCTGACTTTTTTTTTTTTTTTTTTTAATTAGGACCGAAACCAGGGCTGCTTTACTTCTGAGGCACATCCCCAGCCCTTTTAATTTTTTTAGTTTGAGGTAGGGTCTCACTACTTTGTGTAGGGCCTCGCTAAATTGCTGATGCTGGCCTCCACTATGATCCTCCTTTCTCGGCCTCCCAAGATGTTAAGATTATGGACATGTGCCACTACACCTGGCTCACAAGCCTTTGTATAATAACAATATTTTAGTTATTTCAGTTATGTTTCTCCAAAGGTAATCAGCAAGTTATACAAAGAGTTACAAATGTTCATAGGGAAAAAATGTTTAGGCTTTTCAGGGAGTCTAATAAATCTATAACACTAACCTACATTTAAGTAAACTACACTAACATTTATTTAGTAAACCTACAAATTTCCTGCCATCCATTTAATGTGCAGATAATATTTCGGATATTTTCTATTATTGTTCGTAGATTTTCTTTATACATCTGCACTATCCTTTCCACTTCTGTCCTTTTTTTTTTTTCTTCTTCTTCTTTTCTTTGCAATACTGGGGTCTAAGCCCAGAGCCATGCACATGCAAGGCAAGTACTCTACCACTGCTACCCACCAGCCCCACTTCTTCTATCTTTTGACCAAATGCAGATTGCTCAGTTAACCAATATTTTCTAAGTGTGCGAAACAGCTTACTGCTCCTTATTTTTAGAGCCCTTTACCTTGGTATCATAGTTGTACTATTTACTGTTTATCTCATCTTGGGTCTGAACCCCGTCATCTATCAAGACCCATCCTATCAAAACAAAGAAAGAAAGAAATCAAAATTATCAAGAACTTTCTAAGACCTAATAACACCATCTTGCTATAAGACTTGAAGTTTAAATTAATACTGGAGAATCTAATAATAGATTCATTAGCCACCAACTGTTGAGCATGTACCAGACTCTTAAGTGCTTTTCATGCATTATCTCAAATCCTCTCAGCAATGCCATGAGGTGTTGGTACTTTCAAATTTTGTAGTTGAGGAAGCAGGCACCCCTAAGTCACTTTCCAAAGTTGGACACATAGTGTCAGAGTTAGGATTCAAACCCAAGCACCCTGACTCCATAGCTTGGGCACCCTCTACATTCTTATTCCATTCTTTTTCTCACCAGGTAATTAATTTTTAATAAGAACTCATAAGCCTTCCCTGTATCTTTTGTAACCTCTTTCTTTCTTTTTTAATATTTATTTCTTTTAGTTACACACAATTCCTTTGTTTTTATTTATTTATTTTTATGTGGTGCTGAGGATCAAACCCAGGACCTCACACATGCTAGGCAGGGGCTCTACTGCTAAGCCACATCCCAGCCCTGTAACCTCTTTCTTTCCTTTTTTTATTTTTGGTGACACAAGGAAAGGAATTGGACAGTTGAACCCAGGGGTGCTCTACCACTGAGCTATATCCTTTTTTTTTTTTTTTTTTTTTAGGATCCTGTATTTTCATACATTTTAAGTTTGGGTTTTTTTTTCTTTTTTTTTTTTTTTTTTTCTAGGGTATTGTACTGGGGGTTGAACTCAGGGGCACTTGACCACTGAGGCACATCTCTATTTTGTATTTTTTTTATTTAGAGACAGGAGCTCACTGAGTTGCTTAGTGCCTCATTTTTGCTGGGGCTGGCTTTGAACTTGCAGTTCTCCTGCTTCAGCCTCCCGAGCTACTATTATTATAAGCGTGTGCCACTGCATTCGGCTTACATCCTTTTATATTTGAGACAGGGTCTTGCTAAGTTGTCCAGGCTGGCCTCAAATTTGCAATACTCCTGCCTCAGCCTCCTGAGTAACTGGGATTATAGGCATGTGCTACCATGACTGACTGATAAAGAATTTTTAATTCATTAGGACATAAAAATCAGGAAGGAGTTCAATTTTATTGTTCTTGATGATAAGGAAAGGACAGATAACCTCTCTATAGTGTATTGGCTCATTTTCACTGGCATGCTTAGTTAACACAGCCTAGGTAGCTATTCCTTTTAGAAGAAACATGTATTCTCAACACTGTAACTGATCACTATGACAGTGAAGGAACCTAATCATAATGGATTTGTCTTTTTCTGAGTTTATTCTCAAGAGACCAATAAATAAAAAAGAGAGACTAGAAAAAAAACAAAAGCTGGGTTCCTTTAAATTTTTGATGCTCTGCAGTGCAAACATTTTAATTTAATTAAAAGAGTTGTTTCTTCTGTGTTCTCCAGTGAGCCTTTGTGCATTTTGATAATGGTTTGAAATAGAAACCACGTGTACTTTGTTTCATATTCTCTTTCCAGTGCATAACAGAGCCTGGCACACAGTAGGTGTTCAGTAAATATTTGAACAAAGCTATATTTCTAATACTGAAGTTTTTTTCTTTTGCAATACTGAGGATTGAACCCATTGCCTCACCCATTGATCTAAATCCCCATCCCTAAGAATGAGGTTTTGTTTTGTTTTGTTGATAGTACTAGGGATTGAACCCAGGGCCACTCTACCACCAAGCTATATCTCCAGCCCTTTGTATTTTTTATTTTGAGACAGGGTCTCTATATTATTGAGGATAGCCTCAAAGTTGTGATCCTCCTACCTCAGCACCCCCAGTTGCAGGATTATAGGTGTGCACTCCCACACCTGGCCCTAATACTGAAATTTTAAAGAAGACACTAGTGTGTTCAAATTAGAAATCTTGGCTATTTATAGATGTTATCATTTCCAAAAAAGGATGTTTCTTTGGTATATTATCAGCTCCTCTAATAAAGGAATACTTGGTGTTAAATGGTTTTTTCACATGCCTCTGCCCTTCCACTGAAGAGGCCTCATAGCTTGGTGAGCATTTACAGAGCTCCAGATCTGATGGGGTCTTTTCCTCAGCAACTGCAACCAGCTCCTAATGGTGCTGGAGGCTGTGAAGACATGAGCTGAGCCTGAATTCCAGGCAGAACGTCCCCTCAGTATATGAATCCTGAGTTCCCTGTGCTACTTACTTACCTAGTAATGTTTCACAAAAAGGCTGTTTTTTCCCAAAGAGGAAGGGAAGCCACTGTTGGTTTGCTGCTTAGGATTAAGGAGATTTATTTTCCAACAACTGGATTTACACATTTTGAAGTTTCCGTCAGGAGAGCTCTCTTCCCACCTCCAATAAAACTACTGCATTCAGAATTGGTCATCCTTCTTCAGCTGCTTGGCTCATTAGAGTGTGTTGAGAAAGCATAAACAAAGCATATTAAGAAAGCATAAATAATCAAAACTCCACAATTGAATTACATCATCGGAGTGAAATTAAAAGCCATTGGAGAAGTCTACAGGGGCTGTGGGATTCAGAACCCTATGATTGGTTCTTCTTGGATCTCTTGACCTTCACCAAGAGTTTGGCCTCTGGTATTGGACACTCCTAATGGATCCTTATCCAACTCTGATGTAGTATTTGTTTTATTGAAGAAGAGGATTATTTTCATCCTGTAATGGTCCTTCATTATTTAACATGGATACTGACTTTAAGAAATAAAAGAGGGGCTGGGATTGTGGTTCAGTGGCAGAGCACTCGCCTAGCACGTGTGAGTCCCTGGGTTTGATCCTCAGCACCTCATAAAAATAAATAAATAAAATAAAGATTAAAAAAAGAAGAAGAAATAAAAGAGTTCTTCCAAAACAATCATCACTTATGATTTCATTCCCATCTTTGCAGAAATGTTTTATCTCAGCTGGTGCATGTGACAAAACTATGAAGGGAAATGTTGACTGTTGCTGGTTGAATATTAAAATTGTTCTAGCTGTCAGCTTATTGTGCTTTAGTACCTTCTTCCAGTTCAAGTACAAACTCTTATGTAGCCCAGGAAACACTGTCAGATTGTAGGATATTGATCTGCAGAGTTTGTCTGGCTTACCAGCCTGCTCCAGTAGATGCTATTTCTAGTGGTTGCTTTTCTCTCCTAAGTAGCTCCTAAGTACCATCAGCTTTAAGAACCTAATTAGGAGTGGGTGCAATGGTGTACACCTGTAATTACAGCTGCTCAGAAGGCTAAGGCAGGAGGATGGCAAGTTAAAACCAGACTTAGCAAATTAGCAATACCCTGTCCCAAAAAATAAAAAAGGCTAAGGATGTAGCTCACTGGTGAACATCCCTGGGTTCAATTCCCAGTACCAAAAGAAAACAAGGAGAAAAAAAGTTGATGAGTATGATTGAAGCCATGCATTTTGAATATAAATCAACTTTCAGTATATTTATCTTAATTTTTTTCCTTATTCCCATTGGTGCACATAGGCTGATGCAGATAGTTTTTATATGGCATGCAATGGTCGTCAGTTCAACTCAATCGAAGATGATGTTTGCCAACTGGTCTATGTGGAAAGGGCTGAAGTGCTGAAATCTGAAGATGTAAGTTTGAATACTTGTTATCTTTAATATAGCAGATTGGTATGAAATCAGAAGTTAAGCAGTCTGTGGAAATGTCCAGAGCAATCTAAACCGCACAGACAGAAGATAGATAAGTGGTCACAGGGCCTGGGGGAAAGAATGGGAAGCGACTGCCAATAGGTAAGGGGTTCTTTTTGGGGTGATGGAAATGTTCTAAATTTAGATAGTGGTGATGGTTGCTCAACCAAATGAATATAGTAAAAGCCCCTTTAAGATAGAGAATTTATGCCAGGTGCAGTGGCACATGCCTATAATCCCAGCAGCTTGGGAGGCTAAGGCAGGAGGTTCACATTTCCTAGAGTCAAAAAGAAACATTTTGTTTGTTTGAAGTATTAACTTTAATCCCTTTCCTAATTCTTATTCTGTTTCTATAGCAATTTATAATTGCTCTGATCTGTCATTTTCTATGGGAACCTGTCCTGCAGTATGTGTTCCCTCAAATCATTTTATAAAACAGCAAATTTAGCTCTGATGTTTTAAAGATTTTTCTTTCTTTTAAAGTAATTCTTGCTAGATACAGTGGTGCATGCCTATAATCTCAGTGCTTCAGGAAGCCGAGGCAGGAGGATCATGAGTTCAAAGCCAGCCTCGGCAAAAGTGAGGGCACCAAGCAGCTCAGTGAGACCCTTGTCTCTAAATAAAATACAAAAAATATAATATAGGGCTGGGGATGTGGCTCAGAGGTTGAGTACCCCTGAGTTCAACCCCCAGTACCCCAAAACAAACAAATAAAGTAAACCTTAAAGTGTTTTTACCTGAAATCAGATCGATGGAAATAACTTCTGGGTAGATTGTTCTATCGTTAGATTAGGAGAAATAAAATTTAATGAGTGATAAAATTGGGCTTCCCTTGGGTCAAGTGCTGCACAAGGCCTGCTTTTTAAGATTCTTTTCCATAACTGAACATGACTACCTTCAGAGAGTCCCTGTAAGCATCTGTTCTTCAGAGACTGTAAATGAATGTGCTTTTTCTCCATTTGTCCTCATGCGTATGTATGCCTTCCACCCTGGTCTCGATAATTGCTGCTCATGTTCTGGCTGGGAGGGCCTGAGTCCAGCCTTGTGGTCATGCCCCCTCTAAGCTCCCTGTACTTTTTAAAATTTTTGTCTGTTCTAATATCTACAAGGACAAGAAATGGCTGTTTTGGGGGACATACTGGATTTGGTTTTGGTTACCAATGTTCCACACCTTGAACAATGTCTGGCACATATAGCAAGGACTCAAGAAGTATGTGTTAAATGCATAAATAAATTAAGTCAGTGCTATTGATACTATCATCACTAAATAGAAAGTGTTAAATTATAATTTACTCTGGAAAAGTCTTCAGATCCATTGCTATTCTGCTTTTATCTCTTTGGGTATTTTGGTCATAGACTTTTGGAGCTTGAGCTAGGAATCTGGTTCCATGTGTTAAGGTTTTGGCAGCAATCTCCCTTCCTGGAAAGCCAGCTCCACGAGGGCAGGGATTCATGTCTGCTGTCTTCACCACTGTTCCAAGTACCCAGCACAGTACTGAGAATGTAAACCGTATTCCACTAGTGTTTGTTGAATGAATAAGTGAGTGAAAATTTTACCACTTTAAATTATTTGCACAGAACAATAATGTTGAAAACATTTTTGAAAACACATGCGAGACAAGTGCTTTGCACTGAGCTACAACTCCAGCCCAGGAAAACTGTTTTAGAAAACATAGCTGAGTGTGGTGGCACATACCTTTAATCTCAGTGACTTGGGAAACTGAGACAGGAGGATCACAGATTCAAAGCCAGCCCCAGCAACTTAGCAAGGCCTTAAGCAACTTAGTGAAATCCTGACTCAAAAAAATAAAGAGAGGGGCTGGGGATGTGGCTCAGTGGTTAAGCACCTCTGGGTTAATCCCTAGTACCACACACACACACACAAAAAAAAAAAAAAAAAAGTCATGGAATGATGGCTGAAGGACAGAGTGGGATGTTTTCCTGCAGGGTGCCAGCCTCCCTGTGATGGACCTGACTGAGCTCCCCAAGTGCACGGTGTGTCTGGAACGTATGGACGAGTCTGTGAATGGCATCCTCACCACCTTATGCAACCACAGCTTCCACAGCCAATGTCTGCAGCGCTGGGACGACACGACGTGAGTGCAAGGGCTGTCCCCTGCTGTATCAGAGTCCATTATGACCCTTCCCCCAAATTAAAAATAGCACCACCAAGAATGAACCACTACAAGTGTTTGACTCTACCAAACTTTCACCATAAGAGACTACCAATTTTCACCTTCTTTCCTCTGTTCACTAGGAATCCACATTCTTGAGGAAGTCCTTCTTAGTGAGGATACTGATTCTGAATCCTTGTGCAGTTTCCCAGAGCAACATGAGCTCTTCATTCCTTCTGAGAGATGGAATGGGGGTAGGAAGGAATGCAGAGTTTGGCTTTGAGACTCTTTTGTTAAGGTGAAACCTGTCACGGGCTGGGGGTGTGGCTCAGTGACAGAATACTTGCCTAGCATGCCCAAGACCCTGGGATTTATCCCTAGCACTGGGGGGAAAAATGAATCTAGGTCTGCAATCTCTTCTATGGCCTGTGTTTGATATCTACTATTTCACTTTCTTATCAACCAGAGTATAACAACCTTATATTTAGCTTTATGGTGCTATTAATAGCTTGATAGCTAGTCAGAACAGCAGTCAACATTTATAGGCACACACCTATGTATCCTAATTCCCCAGGCACAGGAGGCCTAAATTGTAGGTAACATGCTTCAAAGAACTGAGTTGGCACCTGGACCTTTTCTCCCGCCTGTTATTAAATGGAGGGTGGTTGTTCCCTTTGCAGTCTGCACTGTAGGACTTAGCTAGAAGCTTTATATCAGCTTCTGGCCTCATGGGTTTCCCAGTTCAGAGGGAAAAATAAAAAATCAAGTAATCACACAATTAAGTGTGAAATCACAGCCTTAACAGCTGTTACAAAGTTGCAATGTTCAGCATTATGATTGGAGGCACTCTCACAATAGGTAGGAGTTAACCAGGTGACAAGCAGGAGCAAGAAAACACAGTGGGGGTCGGGGGTTGTGCATGGGAAGGGAAAGATCACACTCCCAAGGTCCAGAAGTTAGGAGGGATGAAAGTCCACAGGAATCCCTGTTCACCCACAAGTGGCCTCGGAGTTAGAGGGAGTGTGCCAGCTTCCCAGAGCAAGGACCTCACTTGGCTTGTTCTCTGCTGTGTCTGCCTTGCGGGGTGTGAGGCTTTCAAAAGCATGCAGCTCATTTAGTGAATGATTTTTTTTAATATTTATTTTTTAGTTTTAGAAGGACACAATGTCTTTATTTTTATGTGGTGCTGAGGATTGAACCAGTGCCTCATGCATGCTAGGTGAGCACTCTACAATGGAACCAAAACCTAGCCTGTGAATAGGTTTTATTTGAGCCTTGGTATATACTTAGTACAGTGCTGGGTGCTGATGGGAAGGAGCCAAATGCAGGTCCTTGCCCAGGAAGCACAGTGTAGGGGGCTTCCACATGTATATAAGTGCCCTGAGGGCTCCATTTCCTAGGAGAGGCCTCAGTCATACATTGTATAAGTGCACCTAATTCAAAGTGAAGATTGAGGGTAGAGATGGTACCCTGACTGGTGGTATGGACTGCTTGTAAGAGGCAGGGTCAGAACTAGTTCTCTGACCAGAACCTGGACAAGGATTCCTGGGGGGTGGGTAGTTATGGAGGGAAGGTTGTTGTGTCTGGGAGAGACTCCCCAAAGATCTCATTATCTCATTAAAAAATATATGTGTGTGTGTATGTGTGTGTGTGTGTGTGTGTGTGTGTATATATATA